GGAAAGAAAGAATAACTTTCTAAATTATCTATTCTTTATATAGTCTGTGGTGTTATATGTTACTTACAGTCTACACTCTGACTGGTTGCAAAGTTATTCCAAACAGCTTAGTTGAGTTTATTCAACCAGCTGTTCTACACAGAGCAGTAATTTAGCCAAAGCTACAAAAATAATATTAATTTTGCAAATAAGATGATAAAAAAAAAAAAAAATCTTTTTCCATGAAGAATCTCTATCCAGGACTCTACAACTTGTATAGTTTTAGCTTAAATGGTTCAAATAAAAAAAAAAAAAAATCAGAATTAGTCACACCTTAATATCCAATATAGTCTGAAAAACGATACACTTTTTTTTCTGGTATTTCACTGAAATTACTTTAAATTGTAGGAATGGTATGCATCTTTTCTTTTTAGCAGTTTCCGAACTGTAACTATTAAAAACCTCGGTTTCTTGATACTAGGATTCAGCCAGTGTCTACGTCCAAGCCACATAATGGCAAGCTGGGACTTTTAGTCTGTTGGTTAGCTCACTTTTAATGTCTAATGTGTTATTTTTTTTAATTGATAGCCATTTATGAGGGTAACTACAGAACAGCTTATATAAGCCAGTGGAGGCGCTGACAAAGTCTTAAACATTTTCACCTAATAATCTAAAAGGCTATGAGCAGCTTTTATTTCATGGCGAAATACCAATGTCCTTATACGAATGCAGGCATGTGCCCAAGTGGAATTATTTTTTCCAACTAGTCAGTGCTGTCCTCATGCAGCCAAAGACTAAATTAGATGTTTTTATTTGACAGACGGAGCTTAAAGACAGGAAAAAAAGAGAGCGTGCATGGAAAACTCACAATTATAGGTAAAGAATCAGCAGAGTTGAGCTTTGCAAAGAATACATTGAATTTTTAATTTATGAGCTGATAGGATATTTAAAAGAGGGTCTTAGTGTCTTCACATTAAGGCTAAGAAAGGCGGATTTTACCTTAATGGGAATATAATATTATTTTAGGAGGGTGAAATCTTCATATTGTATCTTGAGCAAACATCATCAGGTAATCTTATTAATGTTGAACAAATCACCCTCGGGGGAGGCCCTGGTATGTCAATGTGCATGTGTTAGTGTGTGGAAAGAGAGAAGACTGAGGAGTCATCTGACCGTGACCTATCAGTCTTTAGGAGATTGTTTTGACTACCAGGCCAGCCTAAAGACGACCCCTCCTCCTGTTTGGATTAAACCAGTTAAAATCCTGCCTCTGCAGCTCCAGCTGTGCTTCCAAGCTGTCACTGATTGCTCACCACCAGACACTGGATGATTCCTCTAATGATTCCATCCTAATTTCTTGTAATTTCCTAAATCGGCTAATTTCAGCTCGCAGGTTTAAATCGAAATTTTCAGTGTATCCTTTTTCTCCAAACCTGTGTACTTTTCCCTCTTGTGATAAATGCCTACAATTTTCCACAGCCCTTTCCAGCAAACACGGGAGAGCACGGCTGCACTTGTGTCTCGCAGCTGTTGGTTTGATAGTTTGTGTTGGGAAGCGAGTACGATAACAGGAGTGCTGCAGTTTGGCCAGACTTTCCCAGGCTGTGTTAAATTCATTCTAACAAAAAGAAAAAAAAATGGATCTTGGCTAAAATCCCATGACGCCCACTGCCTTACACTTAGTGTTTAAGTACAAATTGCTTGATACTGGCACACTCAACTGAGTCTATAAGGTCTCTAAGAGGTTCACATCTTATCCTTTATTCAGGGGGTTTCTATGGAGAAGGTTATATAAGGGGCACTTTCACCCCTAAAAACTTTACAAATGAACACCTTACATTTTTTTAGTTATGTATTCAACTTCAATAGGTTTTCCCTGTTAACAGATCATTATTAGCAGAATAACCATTTCTGGTTTAAAGTTTAATGACATATTCCATTTGTTATCACTGTCATTATTGATAATCAGAATAGTACAATGCAAAATATTTTAATTAAAGAAAAAGCGCATAACTGTCAAGCAATGAAATGAAATACCACTGGTATTCTGATCTGCTGCCATAAGGAAAAACAAAAGTGCAACATGGAGTGAATTCTGATTTACTCATGCATAGTTAGTGCCAAAATGAAATAAGTAAAGGATATATGCAGATTTCTAAACATAAAGTCTAATATTTTAGAAAACTCTTTAAAGTATTCTTTTTTTAAGGTTCAAGATGCAAAAAAACTGTTAGGAGCAGAAAATTTTCACGGTTGGGTTGAGGTTTTGAGGATCCAAATGCAGGGGTGAGGAGGCAGAGGTGAATTTTGTAGATTTAATGAATTAACTGAGGCAAAAATCCAAAAATACAAGGAACCAGAAAACTTCAGGGGAAAACTCATGGGGCCAAAGAACCAAGGAACCAGCACTGAGGAACTGCACAGGGAGAGTATATATAGGAGATAGAACAAAGACTGGACTAATGGTTTGACAAGGAACAGGTGTGGATGTAAGCATCTAGAAGGAAGCCAAGGAAAAAGGAAACAAAGAGTAAGTCAAGAACCAAGCACTGTTAGAAAACAAATACAAATATAAGGAAACTAAAAATAAACTTAAACAGAGGGAAGAATCCTAACAAAAAGCAGATAAAACAAGGTAAAGCATCATTTGAACAGCAATGCCAGAATACCAGAAGTTCAATGATAATAGAAACATTATAAATACATCAAATCTTATTTAAATACAAATATTATTAGTCACTATTAATCAAAAACAGGTAACAAAGGATTAAAATGAATTAATAAAGCAATCTTGGATTCAAGGCTGAGCAGTATGCTTTTCATTCTTGATTTATAGGAGCCAACAGTTTTTGGATATCGAAGGTCTAAGGAGAAACCAAATGCTGCGTCTCCTTCTTTAATTCTTTTCAAATATCCTCCGTTTTTTTAAAAACCAAATTCTTGTCTAAAGTCGGTTCCTTAGGCTTACAGATCTCAAAAGACAATGTCAAAATGTAACTTTAATTAGGCGTTTGTGAAATATTTACTAGATATGACAGAATGAGAGAAACACCGATCAGCTCAGTGTATGAAGGGCTCTTGTGTACAGAAATAAATTAATTTATTCAAGTTTAGTAGGAAGCCAAATATCAGATACAATATAATTTCTTTGTTATTTGAGATGAGAACAAAATAAATCTACACTGTATCATTTATTTTGTAGAAAGAGTAGTTTATGTTTAGGTTGTAGGTTGAAATGGTTGGTATGAAATGAGGTTATTAGGGTTCTGTAGAGCATATTGTGCAATGAACTTGGTGAACTTTTGAAAGTTTGGTTCTTGTAGGAAATAGTGTCAAAACAGGGTGAGATAAAGCAGCTATTCTGTTATTCAAAAAGATGTGTGGACAGAGAAAATGCAAACTAGGGCTATGTTCACATTGCAGGCATTCAGACTCAGGTCCGATTTGAAAAATCAGATAGGTATTGGATTTAGGACCACATAGCCAGGTGGCCTGGGTCACATTTAAAAAAATCGGGTCTCTGTTGTTCAGACTGTATTGAAAAGATCAGCTACAGGTTTCATAGACGCAAAAAAATCGGATTTTGGTCACTGCAGGCTGCATTGTGAATGCAGCTTAAATGCTATTGTTCATGTTTGCTGATACTTGCTTTGGCTGCCAACTAGTAATGGTTCTATCTGTATCTAATAGCAACACTCATCTCTATCCAGCTGGAGGATAGATCGCCAATAATCGTTTTAGCGTCTCGATATACTTTCCTCAATCAGTAGGAGGACCATTTCCAGTCCAAATCCTGTGATTTCATCTTTTGATTACCACCTGATACCCGTCCAAATACCTACCCACTTTTGTTGATGTCAGTCAGATGGATTTTTCCAAACACCTACACCTTGGGCTCTGTCTGAAATACAGGAAATGTGTTACAGGTGTTGAGATGGAGGCCAAGGGGGGCGGTAGAGAAGGTTAGCTGAGATATGAGAAGGGAAAGAGTGCAAAGAGTAATAAAAAAAAACACCCTAAATCTTTTTGGCACAAAATTTTATAACCTTAGCCAAATAAAATTTGAATGAGATCTGATTTTTGATTTTTTGAGGATTATAAAACCATCAACAGCCAGACAATAGGTTTTAACAACATTAGATCAGCTCTAAATTGTTTTATGTCATAGTAAAGATTAACTACATTTTGAACTGAAAAATAACTTAATTAAAATCTTTTGAGTTCTGCTAGAAAAGCCAGCGGTGGATGGTCTGAGCAGTCAGCAAGGGAGAGGTTAGGTGAGGAGGGAAAAAGTGATGTTATTTTCCTGGCCAGATAGAGAAAGGTTCCTCACCAGCCAGGAAATCAGGGCTCCTCTGTTCCGATACCACAGATAAATGAGGAATATATCGTCTTACACTGAACTCATAAATCAGCTCATGATGTCATAGTTCATTCAGCCTATGATTGAATCAAATAAACGCGCGTTGCTCTCGGCCACCACAGCTAATGTTGCTTTGCTACTGTGTGGAATGTGTTTGTGAGTTTACTGCACTCGGTCAGGGCTAATTTACTTTCTCGGCAACCAGAAGCGAAATGCCAAGAAAACCGCATTGATTATAGAAAACCTTATTCTGCTGCCACAGCTGACTGTAAAATTGTTGGAAGAGCAAGTTCGTGAACCCTCCTGCTGGAGGTTAACATTTAAGTTAGAGATTGTTTGCATCTGGATCTGAACGTTTGCAGAAGATGATGATAGACATGCACTGAAAAAAATATTGCAACAATTTTTTGCATTTACTTAAAAAAAAAAATCTTTTCTTACTTTAACACAGTTATTGCATATTAGCAGGGTAGGACATAGAACAATTGTGTTAGAGTAACTAACTAACTAACTAACTTGAAAAATTACTTTTTCTGGTTTTACTTTTATCACACTTTCTCTCATTTTTTCCAAAAAGAAAAAAAGAACAAAAGCGAATAAACCTTTGTACACCTTGAAGTTCTAGATGATATAAGACCATGTTTTCTTTCTATTGCAGAACAAAGACAGAGACAGGAAGACAAGCATCCGAAGCTAACGTCAAGGGACAAACCACACTGACAAAATGTTCAAGATGGGGCTTCATGGGACTTTTTTTTAACAACCACTGCAGCTGGAAGACCAACCAGATTCTGATGCATTTTAAAGACCTTTGAAGGATTTCTGTAGCACTTCCTCTTCCTTTGCAAGGAAATTTTTAATATTTCCTTTTTCTATTACTTTATACAAACTCTTTGTTTTACAGCGTGGAATCATGAACAGTACTTTCCATGGATTTTCACCTGCCTATCAGGACCGTACAAAATCTTATAAGTACTTAATAAATCATGGCACATGATGACTAAAAACTTACAAATTTGTATTCATTCAAAGCTGTGTCTTATTAAAATGTAAACTGATATAAAAATGTATATTTATGTAACATAACAATATATAATGAAAGTGTGTTATTTAACAAACTATGGCATTTTTTTGATATTTTGCATTGTTTCAATTACAGGCTTTGGTTACTGACTCAGTTTGTAGCATCACAGAAAACATGCTGGAACTATGCTGGTAATGTTTCTTTCTATTTTTTTTTTTTTTTTTTTATTCATCCTTGAAAGGGAAAAGAAAATTGAGTTGACTAATAAAATGTTTTTAAATCTGGGAGTCAATCATATTTTTCTGAGTAGGCCTATACTGTATTTTCAAATCTCGCCCCAGTAATTGCTGGTTCCAACCAATAAAGCTTATAAAGTTTCCATTTTGAATTTATGATGGCATGCAGATGTTTTCTAAAACCAAATAGTGGTTTTTGAGGGACACTTTTACCACTATGAGAGACAATGAACCTATGAAAATCTTTTATAGGAGTGAACTTAAGGCATAACTTTATTACATAAATATAATCAATGTTTCTTATGATTATATTTCAGTTTAGACTTGCCCTTTAATTTAAAACTGCTATTTTGTGATTCCCTAAAGGATTTCTGAGCAGAAATGTGTCATTTTTGTTGTCTTACAACAGCTATGTTGTTGTGCAACTCTGTGCCTTGGTCAAAACGATATTGCAAAAGCATGTTGGTTAAATAAAGATTTTAATGACAAAAAAAAATCTAAAATAAAGTTGAAGATGAGAGAAAAACAGGATGAAGAAGTGGAGAAACAGTGGAGCAAAAGAGAAGGAGTGGGAGGAAAGCTGAAGTGGGTTGCAAAATTGCATCTGCAGGTATGGGTACTTGGACATCTGCCTTTGTCCCTTTGCTGTCCTCTTTTTTACCTTTCCACATGCCTGTACTCTGTTCTCCTCCTCTGCTCTTCCTCTGTTCTCCCTGGAGTGCCACTGGCCAGAATCTGGTTGGTGATGGCTTTCCAGTGTGTTCATCCTGACAGTGCATACCTTCCTGTAACCTTGTCTGTCCATCTTTCCATCCTCATCTTTTACACTATAAACTATATTTTTCAGCCTTTGAAAAGATTTTGAGATTTCTTGTAAAATAAATAAGATATTTTTCACCTTCTCTTGCGGATGTATTTTTTGTTGTATCTTCTTCAAAGTTCTGTTCAATTTTCTTTATCAATGACAAATCACTTCCCAAGCTAAACTTCATCTAATAAAGGCAGAAAGTGATTGTGGCTTTTATCTGAACAATTGTGGTACAAAATACAAAATTAAATATCTTAAGAGGTTTTAAAGGTTGTTTGGGTTGATTAAAATGGCAAACTAAGGGTTAATTTCCACCTGTTTGTTTGGGCTAAACTTGGATTGGACCTCGGGGCTAAATAAATTCAACAACTGGACATAGCCGTAAAAAAGATGTTTGATGGACATTTAACATGATTGGTGTTTGGGGGACTCTTTGGTAAACAGCTGAAACCAGATCTTTACAAATCCCAATTAAAAAGGCCTCAAAGATATTCTGCATTTCTACATGCCTGAAATTAAATCAGATCATCCATCCATTTTTTATTTTCCTCACACATTATCCCAGCTGGGGTCGGGAGGTCATAACTCCAGCTGTCTACGGGCGAGAGGTGGGGTACACCCTGGACAGGTCGCTAGTCCATTGCAGGGCAACACAGAGACAAACTCACACGCAAGTCAATTAACCTAACAGTCTAACAGTCATGTTTTTGGACTGTGGGAGGAAGCCAGAGTACCCGGAGAGAACCCGCGCATGCACAGGGAGAACATGCAAATTCCATGCAGTAAGACCCCGGGCCGGGAATTGTAGCTGGAACCTTCTTGCTGCAAGGCAGCAGTCCTACCCACTGCCCCACTGAGCAGCCCTAAATCAGATTAATATTTTTATAATTTAGTAAGAAAGGATTTTGACATGAATAAAGAAAGACATATATTCAGATTTCATCCTTTTTACCTTTCTTCATATTCAGAGAGTACATACAGACCTCATTTGGTGGAACTGCTTTTAAATTGTATGTAGCTGGCATGGAGTTCTTAGGCTTACAAGATAAACCTCCTTTTCTTCCAAATATAACAATGGTTGGTCACTTTTTTCTATTATAGTAACAGACAACAGGACATGTCTCTGTGTCCCTAAGTGCTCCACAAGATTTTCCACCTTTGCTCTAAGGCTGAGATTACACAGATTGAAACAGAACATGTTGATCTGTTGGATACAGAATATTCCTCCATCCTGAATGGTGTAACAACCTGAAATTCCCATGCTGTTTGTATTCGCCTGTAATGGTTTAAACAGATAAAAGAGGGATGTTGAGATATCTAGGATGAGTACTCAGAGGTGAAGCAGAAATGTTGAGTTCCACCTTATCTCCTTGATAGATTGGTTGATTTCAATTGAAATTTTTTATAATTTGTCAAAAGTAAGCAGTATATTTTAATGTTTGCTTGGTGTGCCTTCAGTAATACAAATACTTTGAGTTCATTCTAGTGAATAAATAAAAAATCAATAGGATTGTATTAAGGCAAAGGTATCTGTATATGTTTTACTTTTTTATTCATTTAAAGAAAGAAATTCTTTTTCATCATTCTGGAATTTAGTCAATAGTAATATTTCATAAATAACCCAAACAGACATAACAAAATTAATTTTTAGCCTGGTTTGATATCAGACAGTAGGCAAAAAAAAGTTACATCTTTATATGGTGTATAGAAACTTAAGGTTTCACTTGAGTTATCATGAAAAATTACCCTTGCACCTTAAGATTTTCATTAATTTTAACATTTCTTTAGATCTGATAATATTGCCTAAACCCATATAAAAAAAACTAAACCCACATGACAGGTCCACAATTAATTAAGCTTTAACTAGGGGATTCTTCTAAGATTATTTAACCATAATTCAGCTATTGTTTCTGTTTCCTAATTAATTTTCGTAACAACACTATAAAGCTCTTAGAGTTTGTATCCACCTTATTTTTTTTTTTTTTTTGCAGCCTGAGTGTTTGGTGAAGAAACACAGACCTACAAAGAAAAAGATCAGACTAAGAAACGGCAAAAGACCAAAGTGCCCAAAAAAAAAAAAAAAAACAGATTCATTTTGTGTCTTTTGACAAAAACCAACCGCTTTAGACAGTGCCGAAGACTTAGACACACATTTAATGCCGACGAGTTCCCTGAGGGACACCACAGACGTGGTACCAGACATCATAAAAGGATTCACCAAGCATTCGAAGTGGGGAGAAAAGCAGATATATGCTGAAAAAAACACAATATTATATCAATACTGATGGCACTTCTGGCAATATTTAGAGAAATGTGGAAAAGTGGTTTTAATGAAAACCTGAACTAAAGATAGTTATAAAGTCTGGAGAATCACTCACACTAAAGACAAAATGTAGTTCTGGCATGTTATGCTTGAACTACCCTCACACTCAAGTGCCAGAGTTGTTTTTTTCCCCCAAAAAGAGAGAAGACAGGAAAATAAAAGATGAAATCTCAGGAAACCTTCAGTGTAATTGGCCCGTACTGTTTTGGATCCTGTTGAAATGATTTGACAAATGTGTGTTTAGTCTTAAACATTTTTGTTTTATTATTGGCCCGTGATGATTTAAGAGCTTTTTCTTTCTTTTTTTTTTATTTAGGAACAAAGCAACAGCTTTGAAAAAAGTGCTCCGTGTCTACTGTGTCCTAATGGCTTCTGGTCCAGTTAGTCTGAGAGTCTGATCTCTCTAGCAGGCCGTCTGTCTGAACAGTGGAGAGTGGGGGGAAAAGGAACTGGTTCCTCCCACACAGATCAGATCAGGTTCCCCCTACGCCTACACTCACAAAATCTTGAACACACACAGATGACCATTTACGCTCTTGTGGGCCAATGAACTTATGCACAAATAGATGAGCGCACTTTATGAATGGACGTGCACGCATGTGCATGTGCTCACACTCTGCACTCTGAGGGTCTGTAGTATAGCTTAGCCGAGTAATGATCTCTGTATTTTACATCGATGAAGCAGATCAGCTGAGTGTGCTGGCTGCTGTGGTGTATTAAAGTGGGAGGTTTTGGACTAAGGTGAACCGGAGGTTGGAGAATCAACTGGTTCTAATTATTGATATAATGGCCTTACAAGGATGCTCTTTGACAGATTTATTTTAACAGAGATAGTTAGAAAAACCATCACCTTAGAAGAAGAATCAAGGATAGGACCAAAATGATTAATCAGAGAGTAATTGAAATTCTTGCAAAATAGAGTAAATGGATGTTTAGATTTAAAGAGGAAAGAGATTTTTTTATCCGCAAAATGGTTTCAGCTATATATTTGAGGGAACAAATAGAAATAGCAAGGAAAACTGATTAAAGCCAATTTATCTTCGCTTGGCAAAAACAGTTGCTCAACTTCTTGCACAGGAATTTGAACAAATTCATTGATCAAATATCTTTTGAAATAAAAAAAATGTCTTTCATATTGTATTTTTTGTAAATGTCCTAAAACAGACTCTAAAGCTGCTTATGGGGATTTGACTTGTTTGTCAAGGTTTTCATTTTAATGTTGGTTACGGAGGTCTACTTTTCCAGAAAAGACACTTTACACATGTCTGCTGTTCATTTAGCTTTATTGCAGTTATTTGAACTGAAGAACTAAAATAAAAGGTTCAATCAGAAATGTTAAACCCTTTATGACGTGATTCATTTTTGCTTGTTGTGACCCTCTTTCCCACAACAACAAGAAAATAAAGAACAGCATTTGTATTCAACAACTACTTCTCTGCAGGTAATCAAAATACTTATATAAAAATTCATAAAACTATGTAAACAAATATGTAGACGATGCATGTTAAAATATAGCAAACATGTTACAGACTTTACTGGTTACTGCAAGTTAACTTAACCCCCAATCGGAGCAATAGCCTCTCCAATGAAGCTTGTTTACAAAACAGATATCTCTTCATGTGTCTGAAGTGTTTTTGGATTAAAACGTTTTTGTTTATTATTCAATGGACTAACTAGAGGTGACCAGCCAGAAATTACTCACATAAATGTTGTATTCCTAAAAATGCATAGAAGTTAATGATTTTCATATATACTACCTACCTACCAAAATATATATATATATATATATATATATACACTGCTCAAAAAAGTAAATCAGCATTTGCTAGATCTGAATGAATTAAATATTCTCATTCAATACTTTGTTCAACGTTGAATGTGCCAACAACAAAATCACATAAATCATCAATGCAAATCAAGTGTATTTACTAATTGAGGACTGGATTTGGAGTCACACACAAAGTTAAAGTGGAAAAACACACAACAGGCTGAACAAACTTTGAGGTAATGTCCTTTAAACGGGTCAAAATGAGGCTTAATATTGTGTGTGGCCTCCACGTTCCAGTATGATCTCCCTACACCACCTGGGCATGCTCCTGATGAGGTGGTGGATGATTTCCTGAGGGATCTCCTCCCAGACCTGGACTAAAGCATCCGCCAACTCCTGGACAGTCTGTGGTGCAATGTGACATTGGTGGATGGATTAAGACATGATATCCCAGATGTGCACAATCGGATTCAGGTCTGAGGAATGGACGGGCTGCTCCATAGCCTCAATGGCTTCATCTGGCAGGCTGCTGACACACTCTAAAAGTGGTGGACGAAGTTCTCAACTATCGAACTTCAGTAAAACTATTGATACCCGTAGCCACTTCTTACTCAGCTACAAGTAAAAGTTGCTTGGTCAAAAATCTACTCAAGTAAAAGTACTGAAGTGCTCAGTTTTGAAAGTACTTTAGTACACAAATGTACATGTATTTTAGATTTTTATGAATTGAAAAGTAAAAATGCAATTTTTTTAATATCAGTACACTTCTATGTAATTTTCAGAGTAATTTTAAAGGACCGTGTAATTTTCAGAAACCACTAGATGTATTAACATGTAGAACCACTCTGCTTTAGGTTCTACATCACCTGCAAAGAACTTGAGCACAAAAATGCAACAAAAAATGAGGATAGCTATTTTGATTATTGTTTCTTATTCAAAAACACACCAAAAGCAAAACAG